ATCACTCTCTACTTCAGTAACCACAAGCCATTCCTCCGCCATAATCCTCTTCCACGCTCCACCAATTCTACACCAGCTTGTAAGTCAGCACTCCATTCCAGTTTGGCAACACAAATTTCTACACTCCATTCAATATTTTTCAAAAGCAAATTTATATCAGCTAAAAGAGTGTCTAACAAGCTACAAAATGATAAAAAGGTTTCTCTGAAGATATTATTTTGTTTTTGAAAAGCAGAGTTTTTGTTGACATTTTTTCAACAATTACATGTATCAGTCTACCTTTCTTCAAAAAACGTACTTCAGGGAAATATACGGTAAAACTGTTAAAAACAAAATGATTTCTGGTGAACGTTATCTCATTAGATACTACTTAATTGATTAAAAGCATAATATCGAGGGAAAAAATTATGAAATGTCTGGGTCTTAAACCACAGTGCAGCCTGTGGGGATAGCTGTCGTTGAGTCCGACAGTGACAATTCTAATGATGATGACCATAAGACAAAAACATCTGAACTTGAGTTTCTGGCTGTTCAGCTTTCAACTTCAGAAATTCTTGCCAAATTAGACAAAAATCATACACCATCTGAATGATGAAAAATTGAGAGATTTGTCAGGCGTGCTTCAAAGATACAAACAAGTCAGTTCTGACAAACTTGGCCACACATCAATGACGGTTGATGATGTTGATGTGGGGGACACAAGACCTATATAACACGCACCGTATAGACTTAACCCTGACAAATTATCCAAGGTTCAAGAAGAAATTTCAGTTCATGTTGGAGAGTGACATTATAGAACCTAGTCAGAGCTCATGGAGTTATTGTCATGGTACGGAAGCCTGATGGAACACTTACAGGTTCTGCATAGATTATCTGAAGGTCAATGCAGTAACTAAGACTGATTCCTATCCCATTCCTAGGTTGGAAGACTGCATCAATACAGTGGGAAACTCTGCAATTGTCAGTAAAATAGACTTTGTTAACCACTTCCTGCCGGGGACTCCGGATCTGGACTTACATGTAGGTCACATGGTTGGTCAGGGTCACATGCTATCCCAAGTAGCAAAGATTCAGGCTATTCAAGAGTTTCCCGTACTCAAAGGGAAAGGAGAACTTACGAGATTCCTGGGTATGAGTGGATTTTACAGAAAGTTTGTTCCAAACTTCAGTACTATTGCCACTCCCGACTAAACTCTTGCAAAAGAATGTGAAGTCAAATGCCAAAATGCATTTCAGAAATTGAAGGTAGTCTTCACAAACGAACCAGCTCTTGCTGCACCTACATGTAAGTTTGACAAGGTGTTCAAAATAGTCCTTGACACCAGTGCTGTTGGTGTCGGAGTGGTTTTGTTCCAAGATGATGAGTCAGGCATCAAGCGACCAATCAGTTACTTCACAAAAAAGTTGAATAAACACAAGCAAAATATTCCACCGTCGAAAAGAAGGCATTAGGCTTGATTCTTGCCTTGCAACACTTTGAAGTGTACATTACAAATAGTGCCCGAGAAATGATCATTTCTACTGATCACAGCCCACTTGTGTTTTTGGAGAATTTTAAGACCAAGAACCAAAGAATATTTCGGTGGAGTTTGATTTTGCAACCTGATCCACTCAAGATTGTTCACATTGCTGAAAGGAGCAATGTTATTGTGGATGCTCTGTACAGAGTTTAGATCCTTGTAATTAATTACAGCGATATTAATTTCTTTGTCTAACAAGTACATGTAAGAGTTTGAATTTGACTCACATAATTTGTTAATTTGCAAAAAGGTAATTGATTGTAAATTTAAGTTTTGATGAAAGGTTTGTGTCAGAACTTCTTTTTTGGAGACGAAAATTTTCTTTCCTTATGGGGGGAGATGTTATGTATACATGTACACACACAGTCTCTGTACATGTGGCAGATTATGTAATGGTACCACACATGATTCTGTGTGTGACCGGTATTTGCCCCAGGCCGTATTGGATGACCTCACTGTAGTCCAGAATATTCTAGTTGTACGTTCTGGAAGTTTCCTGTGGGATTGTGTATATGTAGTTTCAGGTTGTTTGGCGCGCATTCTGGAGATTTCTTATAAGATTAAGTAATGGTAAAAAGTCTATTTTAAGAAATTTATGTAATGAAAAGAAATTTCGAGAAGAATTGTAGACTAAAAAAAGACAGGCTCTGGCAGACAAGGACAGAGAAAGACACACACAGCTAAAGAGATTTTGGAAGGCAAGTTTACCGTACATGGGCTGTGGGAAGTTGTTGAATTGTTGACCTCTGCACCATTTCAACCTGTGGTGGTGAGTTGTCTGTGGAGCCACACTTGTAAGAAATGTTTGTCCGGACCAAGTGAAGTGCAGAACGGAATTTTGTTCCAGAAGAGACAGTTTGGTGAACTGAATCCAGTTCCAGTTTGTAGGATCATCAAGTCCCGCATTTGCGACGGTCTATCGTATAATACTTTATTTTTTGTAAAATTAATTTTGACCCTTTTGGCCGCCCTTTTTTTTTTACAAACAAACTCAACGCAAATCAATAGACAAATTCTCAAACAAACTAACTTGGTTCCATCATTTGGGGCGTCCTACGCAATGCACAACCACGTGTTCGGTGCGATTGGGCGATGTCCATGATCACGAGATACTGAAGCGGTCTGTCAATCTTGCTACTCAATATTATTTGGCAATAATTTTTACATCAGCTAATTGCCTTTGTTTATAGTTAACATTTATGGAAGATTGATTTCAAAAGGGGAAGTAAGTTGGAGAATTCATGCAATATCTACTGATAGCAAAATGCGATTGCATGATGGTGCAGATTGACCGAGAGCGCCTAACACATACCAGCACAGCATACAGATACAGGCAGGCGCAGCGCAGGCGCCCTGGCGCGTGCCGGGAGGTACATGTATATAGGGAAGGGGCATAATCATACATGTCGCCATTACGTTTTAAGTTTGGTGGAGTAGAGTACGGCCACCACCATGAATTTCAAGTTTTTCCGGACTGTTTTACAGAGTTAAGAGTGGAAAGAGTGGAACAGTTGGAACAGGGTTGGGTGAATATGAATGATGACCTTGTACGATCGAGGATCATCCAAGCAAAAAGACAAAGATGTGGAGAGCATTTAAATCCTATTGGAACTCCTTGGGGAAAATTGAGAAGTGTCGTTTTGGCAAGGAATTCAATCAAAAATTAATTTTACATAAAATAAAATATTATACAATGGAACCAAATTTGTTTAAGAATTTTTTTAATGATTTGCGTTTAGCTTCGTTATTAAAAATTGAAGTGAACTGTTGGCAACCTTTGGTTTCGACAATTTGTTTTCTTTTTTTAATTAATTATTTCATATTTTGATTTACTGTTGTCATTTTAGGATCTTTTGGGGCATATTGTTTTCAAATGTTGGTTATTTTTTTTAAGTAATTTCTTTTATGAATGTTTTGGTGTTCGTTTTGTGTTTTAATATTTACACTTTGGTAAGAAAATATTCGCCCATAATTGTTTATTTTCTGGATCAAAACTTCTGGAGTATGATGGTACCAATGATCGCTCATGTACTGCACCCAAACCATCATGTGTTCTAGAGGATTGCATAAGGACACGAACATGTAATTATGATTTATCTTTCCAAACACATTTCAAATGAAAAGAATACTTGTGCTTGATTGGTCAAACTGTGAAACTTCTAATACATGTACAAGCAGCCATGTTCAGTAGTTCGGAAGAATAGAGCGGCGTTTATCATTAATAGACCGATCGCACCCAGTAAATCACGTGACCTATAGTGGGTATCAACCCCACAGCAATGTGTGCTTTGATATTGTTTACAAACAACACAGCCAAGTTATGATATATGGTAGTACGCAGCACTAGGCAGAGGTTGAATAAGTTGCCTGTTTTTTAATTTCCTCTGTCACGTACATATCGCAGATTTTTCCAAAATGTATGGCAGATGGATTTTCTGGACTTCTACTGATACTTTGCATACATGTATGTCTAAACCCCATCGCCAGGTCTTGGGCCAGTTTTTTTATTAGCTGGATCATGAATACACAGTAAATTTTTGTCAGGTTAGAGGACAAAAGAAACATTTCTAAATCCATGTACTCTAAAATGCCATTTTTTGCCTACAATTAACTTACAGGTACCTAGGGTTGGATGAAAAAAATGTTGACTTTAGTCTACCAGCAACACGACACCGCGAGTCATCGATTATCTTTTTCCTGTATTTATCATCCACCGCGGTGATTATGTTTATCTCTTGTATTGACTTTAGTCTTCTTTTTCAAAACACTAAGAAACACAGTCGAGAATAATATAATGTCAATTTTTTATGTTTTTTTTTTGCAAAAACTGCATTATTTGGAGTCAGCGGGTTCACAATCCAACTAATAAAAAGATTGGACCTCGCTAGTTCCCTTGTATGTACATGTATACATGTACACATTTGTTGAAAGTGAAACGTTGTTGCAAATGCAACCCCCTCCCCCAATGAAGATTAAGAAAAAAGGGCGGACGTAGAAAAGGATGTGAGCAGGTGGGAATGAGAAACTACTTTATTTTTATACTTGGCCTTATTAATGCAGCAAACAAAACATACTACTACAACTACATGTATTTCCTTGCTCTGTGATGTGTGTATGAGTATAAAGTAAAAAAAAAAAGAGAAAAAGCATCAACAAGACATGCACAGTTGTAATTAAAACTGCAGTATTGTTTATGACAGTCCAAAAAAATGAGAATGAAATTACATGACGGAAAATACCATAGAATATACGTGTTTATCATGGCCAAGAGTCACAAAGTACCATTATTTAGTGTACAAATGGGCTGTCATCTGGGTAAGGGGCAAAGATCAGCCACTGTGTAACTGTGCACCACTACCCAAACACAAAGGGAATTTGTACTGTACCTGTGCGTTGTACGCATGCGTGCCACATCTCCACATGTATCTGGAAGGGTCCCAAGCAAAGCTTACAAATAATACACTGTACATGTACATGTACATGCACACATGTATATGTACAATGTACTGGTATGTACTGTAGATAACCCCCGCAAAGCACATCACATGACACTGACACCGTACACCATATTTCTGTCGCCACTAACTAAATCCTGCTTACATGTATTTCTACTTCCTGTATCAAAGTGGATGACTTGCTACTACATGTAAGTACAGTACATATGCCTTGTTTGCCTGCACAAATACTGATCCACTGTTCTCACCGGGATCTCAGAGGAGGTAAGGAAATTTTGTGTGTACATGTACAGGGTACATGTACATGTATGTATCTGATGTTGTTTTGGAATGAGGTTTAATAAAGCCAGATGATTATTTCACAAACTGATTCATCCACTAAATACTATGCAAGCCACCATGTGCTCACCACCAAATGTACAGGAACCGGTACATGTAAACAACTTCTACCGGTATCTCATTTATATGTATAATGTAGTGCTCAACACTTTTTCATAGGACAACTGAAATTTTGAGTAACGTTTGTTCGGGTCATCTTTTTTGTAAAACTTTAGAATTTGGGTGACCAGATGTGGCAATGTGTGCTCTATGTGCAGTGCATTTATAGTGTTCTGGCCAAACTAAAACATAATTTTTTAGTGCCAAGATTATTTGGATTTTGCTGTCTATATTTTCCACATGGAAATCTCTCACAGGCTTTTCTCCTCATATGATAATGGAATATGAGGGATAAAAATGACTGGATATTTTCTTTTTTTAATTTGTAGTAACCGATGGAGTACATGCACTCTAATGGTCCATCCATTTTGTTTTTTTATCGCAGTCACTTATCCATGTGCAACGGCTTAAGCTAGACCCTCTGGGGTTGAAGTAAAGTAGCGGTAGATCACAACCAGGAAGCCTATTCATGCATACAGTGTACATGCACGGCTTCCAAATGATTCACAGAATATAAAACCCTCTACATAACATACATGTACGTTAACCCCAAACATCCCCAAACCTGTTATCGAAAGGTAGAGGTACATGTACATCATCACACAGCAGTGTTTGTTTTTTTGATGTCCCAAGTTTTTAACTGTAACAATCCAAACATGCGACACCATAGCAACAGTTAAAAATGGGGCAGAACATATCAGGACAATTTTTTGGTGTTAATTTCTTGGTGTATATAGAGCGGCCTCAACAAAACAGCTCAGAAAGTTACATACTTGTATCTGAAATTATCCACTCTTAAATTCATTAAATAGTATGATATTAAGTTAACCATTCTCAGCATTCAGGGGTGAGATTAGTCAGGATTTCTCTTGATTTCCCAATTTCAGGACTTTTCAAACAGTCTGTTTTTAATATGGAATATCCCAAGTTATCACTGTGGTTACTTACATGTCCGTGTGGTTACTTACATGTCCGTGTACATGTATACATTGTAAAAGTTGATACAGAACACAAGAACCAAGTATCTTAAAGAGTGCCTTTTGGCCAACACAAATCTCTACCATAGGCGCTACTCTGCTTTGGGGCCCTCAAAAGTGCTGGTAATTATTTCATAAATTTTAAAGTTTCCTGGGATCTCACCCGTGGCATTTAATTTTGATGCGATCAATTTACTGTATAAGGAGAAAGTCACAGATAAAAATTGCTCAATTTGAAAAAGCATTTGGCTGAAATTCAACTACATATTTACATGTACATGTACATGCAAATGTACAATGTAAGTACATGTACATGTCTGTACGGGTTCTGTGCATGTAACTTTGCATAAACAATGCTTGAAAAATGCAAGAATACCTTGGGAATGTAAGACATATATTTCAAAATAATGTTTTTGAAACATAAACAAAAATTATGGTGGGGTGAATTAAAACAAATGTTCTTAGCGAGTAGTGTTTTACTGAATTTGCAACATTTTATGTGAATCATCATTTACACATTTAAAAATCAATGTGATGAAATTGGATGATCCACATATTGTGAACTGAAACAGATTTTATGACCCTACAATCACATTACATGGTACGAATTTACACTTAAAGATACAAGCACTGTACATGTACATGTACCGGTATCTTGCGCCGACTTGAAAAATTGAAATATTCCTAAACTTGTGTTGGTATTTATTTTTCTTTTTTTTAAAACCAGCATTAAACTTAGAAATCCTTGGCCTGAATATTGTACAGACTGACATCTAACTCTTGTGTGTTTTATTGCAGACTCTTGTCTCTATTTATTTTTAGTTGCAGCAATACATATCAACTCCATCACAACACCGATCTGAAGGCCAAATAGTTTATCTAATCCTGGGTATTAAAAAAACAATAAACACACTCTTCATAATATTTTACAATCATGCATGATTCAAATCAAAATTTTGCATAGGAATCCATTCAGAAAAACATACTGTTCAAAAATCAGAACACATAAAAGTAATTGAAGGAAAAAGAGCCAACCTATTTCATGAAATGTTAACATTGAAAATTGGAAAAGGACAAAATTATGCAACAGTGTTTCAACAGATGCTTACTCGGCAACAAGATGATGGAAGTAATCATTAATCACTTCAACCACTAAATCTGGATTTGAAGAGATGTGTACCTACCCATGTGTACATGTACATGTATCACACCTAATTCTTTAAAGACAAAGCAGGAAACATTAACAAACTGTGTTTTGTTGCTTTGGCCACAACCAACAATCTGTTCATTTTTATATCATTTGTAAGCAGATAAAAATGGCAACAGCTCCCCCCAAAATCAGCAACCATCTTGAATGCGGCATCTGCAAAAACCAATGCAAACGACCCAAGATGTTAGACTGCCAACACAACTTCTGTGAGGGATGTCTTGAGAAATACCACATAAGCAGCTACAAGGGTGCTGCACAGATTCCTTGCCCAGTCTGCAAACTGGACACAGCTCTTTCGGGGAAACACATTCAAGGCTTGAAGACAAATGTCCACTTGATGGGCATGGTTGAGGAGGCCTCCCATCAGGAAGACCCCAAGGTCATCTGCCAGATATGCGACAAGGAAAAAGAGGGTATGCTCCGCTGTCTGGACTGCGCGCAGAACCTCTGCCCAAGCTGCTGCAAGATACACTTGCGATTTACTGCTGCATCCCACCACACAGTGGCCACTCTGGAAGAAATATGTTTGGGCAAAGCTCCAGTGGAAAAAACGCGAGAAAAGGATGAGCCTCAATGCCACAAGCACAAGGGGCAGGTGCAGCAGCTTTACTGTGAGACATGTGAAGAGTTAATATGCCTGGATTGCACTGCTGTAGACCACTGTAAACCCACACACCACTACACTGATGTGGCAGATGCCTCCTTCAAATATAGAAAGTCACTGAATGAGATGTTTTCCAATTTCAACGAAGACATACAGGGAATTGAGCAATGCTTGGCTGCTTCATCTCAGGCTAAGCGACAGTTAGCAAGGGAAACCCTGCAGAATATCAAGGCTGTGGAGGCGACGGCAGCAAGAATTAGAGCTGAGATAACAAATCAAGAAAACAAGTTGCTTGAGGAAATCAAACAAATTGAAGAGCAGCACAACAGATCCTTGGACAAGCAGGCGAGATCACTGAGTGAGATGCTTCAAGGGAAACAGCACTCACTGGAGACAGCCAAGGATGTCACAAATACCGCCTCAGATGATGACTTCCTCCACCTCTATCCCCTTCTCAGCAAAAATCTGGAATCACTGAAGGGCCAAAATCCCCCTGATATTGATCCTAGCCTTTCATATCTGAGGTTTGCCCAGGGTAATCCCATCAGTGACATCAGTCTGGGCCAGCTGGAGCTGAGGGCGGGCCAGTGGGAGATGTGCCGTGAGATTGGCAGACATGGGAGAAGGCTGGGAGAGTTCCACGGGGCACGAGGTGTTACTGCAACACAACCCGGTGAAATTGCAGTGGCAGACAGTGAGAACAAGCGAGTGGTGATTTACAGCAATGAGGGGCAACATATGAGAAATATTGCCCTGCAATCATGTAAGTTTATTTCCCATTCACAGCATTAACTTCTGTACATGTATATGTATATGTACATTGTTTGTGCCAACTAATGCACAATTCAGTATTATAAATCACCCGTGCGCATGTACTGTAAGGGGCATACATGTACATGTACTAATGTAAACAAAAAGCATTGCAAAAAATTACTGTACAAATGTGCATGTATACATTATTTGTGGAAAGCCACAAAAATACAATATTGCCCAAATCGCACTGGTATCTTTGTCCCTGGATAATGCATGTACATGTGTAGAGCTGGCACACCTCTACAATCTCATATCATGACATGTCGGCTGAACATGTACATGTCCGCATTATACAGGTATCGTTGATGGGAACAATTTCACAGCTCTAGATATAAGTTTGATACCAGCACATGCACTGCATACATTACTGTACCTGTATACTTTTCTAGATGAATGTACCTCTTCATTTCCAGATCCACGTGCCGCTGCAGCTATCTGCAGTCATGACAGTCAGTTGGTAATAGTGGATGACACCAAGTATGTCAAGATATTCCAGAATGGCAAGTTGGTCAGAACGTTCACTACAGTACCACAGATTGAGGTTGACCAAACAGACGTGGACCTACAGAGTGTAGCAGTCAAGATGGATGGTACCATCATCGTGGGTGATGTAAAGCGGATGGTACAGACTGAACACAGACCTGCTGATGGAAAGCTCTTGCACACAGTACCAGTGCAAACGCAACCTCACTACCTGGCTATTGATGGTTGTACTGGCAGAGTTGTGATCAGTGGAGGTAACCAACAGAAAGTGGATGTTGCTGACAGCAATGGTACTACACTGTCCACTGTCAAACCAACCATCAACAGTCAGTCAGTGCAGAGCTGCCGTGGCGTATGCTGCAACAGCTCGGGCATCTATGTTGCAGTGTGGAATGGTGAGTTTGGCTCTGGCCACATTCACCATTATGACCTGACTGGCAGTTTTCTTGACTGCCTGGCTAAAGATCTGTACTCACCACATGGCGTCACATTCACGTCCAATGACGAGCAGCTGGCAGTGGCTGACTGCCATTCAGTCAAGATGTATCGGAAGGTGTGATGTCAAGCATTCATCCGACTGACCATTTGACAAGCAATCCCCTTCATCATCATCAACCTAAAACGAAATGATGAGGTCATGAAAGCAACCACCATCCATCATGTCCTCCTTGTCGTCACTGACTTTAAAAAGGCAAACAACTGTTCCTCTCTCATCCTTAATCAATTTTGATGTGGTTTATAAAAACTGCTTAAAATATTTGTAAATACGTGTACGCATAGCATGTTGATAGCAGGTAAAGTGGTATGAATTGGACCAAAATTTTCAATTACAAATCGAATTGCTTATGTTTGGCTTTACTTCAGAAGTTTTTTGGTCTACATACCTGGGGACATACATCTTGCTAAACTGATTCATATGATGATACATGTACTTTATACGATGTTCAAATTCATGTGAACATGTACGAGTATGCAGGCTAATGACATGTCAGAGAAAGCAAGCCCTGGTACATGTAGGGTTTATCACGTTAATTCAGCTTTTCTGTTTTTATTCACAACAAAAACACAAAGTATTTCAGTTTAATATACTATACAACCATCTACATGTAGACTGCATGTGCTTGTTCATAAAGCTCATTCATTGTTGAGTCAAACTTCTTGTCACAGTATCATTTCAGTACAAGTATTATTGCGTAACTTACGCATACTGAGCATACGTGTTCATTACTGCTCTGGGTTTGACTTCAAGAGACAGATCCAGCCATGATGTGACGTGTGAAAATTCTATCACCCTCTAGGATGCATGCATACACAATGCCAAAGCTTTGAGTGCTACGAGTCAGTCAGCTCAGGTGTTAAAACATCATACCCCAAACCAAAACAGTCAATACATACATGTAATTGTTAAATATCATCAGCCATTATGTTGGACTGAATTTCTAAAGCGAAAATGTGACAAGTGATCTCATGAGGCTACAAATGTAATGCATCGTCTGCAATTACATCAGATGTACACTTTACATCTGTTTACCAAAATAGTGTGACTCTCGTATTGACAAAAAGTTTAATACATCGACATATATACATGTATGTATGCGGCACATACATGTGTATGATATATACTGATTTTGTATATCGTTTGTTCATCAACAATCTGTGGGTTGGTGTGACCGAATATTCAGATTTTCGATCAAATTGAAGATCAAATATTTGAATAGTGAATTATTCGAATTGACTCAGCCCCATTTGGTTTGTCATAAACTGTCTTTAGAAAGTTAAATGGCGTGATCATCCCTTTCCATCATGTACATGTACGGTAGGTGTTACAACTTCCATGTTAACAGCTTTCAAGTTAAGAAAATAACTCCTTACTGAGTGGAGGTACATTATGCAATGTAGATGTACAAGCAACAAAAGTTACAACCCTCGCCAGTTGTTATCACCCCTACAGAATCGTCTTAATTGTTTGGCCCTCTACGTACATTTAAATTTCTGAGCCTTGGAAATGGTCTGTAATTAAATAATTTTCAGGTGGACTGTTAGGATAATGTTCAAAATTAATTACAAATTAGACAAATGACCTCACAAAATTTACAAGGCAGAGCGCCTGTTCACCGACCTGAACAACACAATGTTAACAATTGGTTGTGATATGAGTATGAGTCTCCGCAGAATGAACAACAGACTTACCTCAAGGCACATCTTGATTCTCAAAACTCTCCTGTACATGACACCATGGTCTTACATCAGATGCACAACCTTGTCTTAGAAATAAAGGTTGGAAGAGCTGTACATGAAAGTAAAACACACACACAAAAATACATTTTCATGCTTGCATAACGACAGGCATTTTTAACAATAAAATCATGCCAATCTAAAGGTTGTTAGCAAAATATTCAATATGCCCAAAATGTACATGTATGTGACTTTTAACTGCCCTTCCCAACGTTGGTCAGTTGATATTATTACAGTCATTTGCAAAAGTTTAAGACCACCAGGAATGTTATGGGTATTTCTATCAATGGGCCTGCATTCCTTTGTCTCATCGGATGATTACATAACGTTTGCAACAGTGGTCCATAACATGAAAGCATTGCTATTAGCCTATTTGAATGAAAGTTTTCGCCAACACAGGTCATGTATGGCACTTTGTCTTTGCTGCTGCAAGGCTTAAAAAGCCAGTCTAAGTCTGGTTCAAAGGGCCCGAATAGTGACCCTCCATCAAGAGGGTTACTCTGAACGTCAAATTAGCGAGAGGGCTGGTTGCAGCAACTTACTGCTGTGAACAATGCCATTTCAAAATTTCAAAGAAATGGCTCATTTTCTCGCCAAAAAAGGCACGGCCATCCAAGAAAAACTACCCCCTTGTGAAGACCATGTAATCCTGCGAATTGTTGTGAAGGATCCCTCCAGTTCTTGTCGAAAGCTCAAAGCAGCTTTGCAGTCCACTGGGACAAATGTTAGTGTAAGCACAATTTCTCATCATTTGAACAAAGATTTAGGCTCAAGTCACACAAACCTGGCGGTAAACCCTTCTCACCAAGGCAATGAAAGTGAAGCGGCTCAATTTTGCCAGGAAAGAAAAGTCCTGGACTGCAAAACACTGGATGAAAGTTTTGTTTTCAGATGAATCAATTGTGCAACAATTTGTAATACGCAAAGCCCATGTCTAAAGACCTATGGAAAGAGATTTGATGCACGATCCACAAAATATGTCACACTCTTATAGGATCAGTTGAAAACTTGTACAGATGCCCGCAAATGCTCCATGCCACAGGTCCAAGGTGGTTCAGGACTTCTTGACAAGGAGCAAAGTCAATGTTCTTGACTGGCCTTGTAACAGTCCTGATCTCAATCCAATCAAAAATCTCTGGAAGGTTGTGAACGACAAGGTTCAGACAAACATCCACAAATGCCAATACATTAGTGGAAGCCATTAAACATGTCTGAGAGAAAGAAATCTTGGTGGACTACTGTCAATCTCTCATTTTCAGTACGCCACATCACATTCAGAAGGTCATTGGAAATAGTGGAGGGCACACCTGTCCTGTTAAGTCTAATATTTAATCAGACACTTAACATTTCAAGTCATGGAAATTTAGTCAAATAACAATTCAAGACTTTAATATTACACATTGAAAATAAATGCAAGTTTCAAAGATTTATTTGCTAAAGTTTGGTTTTCCTTTGTGTTACTGCATATTTTACGGGTGGTTGTAAACTTTTGCAAATAACTGTATACTGCATGTCAAAACGAATAAGTTGCAGAAAATTAGACAAATCTCATAAATCTGGAAAATTGTATTTCACACAATGTATAACAATTGAATGCATTCTCAAAAATGAAATTGCCCTTACTATGATTCCATTTTTAACAGTAAACAAACAGAAAACATCCTTTCCCTCCCCTAACATGTATATTAACATCCATGACCAATAACTCGCAACGTCCATAATTTTGCTACCTACATGTACATTTGCACTGTGAAGTCTGGTTGATTTGCACAGTAAGGTGATGTACAGGTACATGTACCATGGGTACAGTACAGTTTACAATATGGCAAAATACATGAAATAAGGAGCCTGGAGACTGTATCATGTATATGGTTATACATCAAATTTTTCACATCACCCCAATTTTCACTCCTGCCCTTGGCCTTTTTAAATTTTTTGTTATTTTTAAAGTGTGCTGTTTTCTCAGAAAAGGTATTTTTCCAGACAAAGTCCTCTCAAAATCAACAGGTAGATGTGCAGTCACATTGACATGTTAGTTAACTTCATGTGTTCCTAGCTCTATGTTCATACAAACAGCAATCTCAGTACAACACCAGTAGGTCTAGCACGATATAGTGGTTGTGGCTCACGATACTTACGTGTAGCCTAGGCATGCTAATGCATATCATTATTTATGGTCAGGAACATGACAGGTTGATGTGGTATCGATCGGTACATTAACACTCTAGTCACCACATATCTGACACTGCAGTCCTCAGAAAGAGTTCCAACTTCCATTGTGCAGACCATACAAATATCTCTTGATGACACCGTAGGCCCTACCCAGGCTGAGCACAAACCTCATCACTTTCTGACTGATCATCAATCAGAAATTGAGGATTCCAGTTCGTCCAGGGAAAAATTAGTGATGTCCATACATGTACATGTACATGACTTGCAAATTTGACTCCACCATGTGTCATGTGTTAAAACACCCCCAGTTTCCTTCATAATTTCCCTCAGAACTCAAAATTTACCTCGGGAACTCGAAGTTTACACGGAGTATTACGGAGTTAGTGACTTTGAGTTCTCGAAGTACTCAAAACCCTGCCCTCTTTTCCCAATATCAACAACAGTTATTGAGCATGTCACATTCATCTACCTAGCTAGAAGTAATACAGAAGTTAAAATGTAGTTCTCCCTCCTGCTATAGGGCCAGGGTCCCAATCCACAGTCCCCGAACTCTTGCCGTGCCCTTTCTTGGAAACGAAAGCAGTCTTTAACACTACATTCCCAGCCCCCGAAAACTAGGAATTGTCGACTTTCGTCTTCACCGCGCTGGCGCTGAAGTTATAAAGCGCCCTCTTTTGGCAGACTTAAACACAAGTTAAGTGGCGGGTGAAGGCGGTGGCAAAATTTGAAACTTGTTTTCTTTCAACACTCTTTGGGAGGATATGTCACGTGTTCTTTACAGAACTTTGTTGCACGAATGGTTGTCATTCCTAAAAGTATATGTTTTCGAAAATTATTGATTTGATCCACACCCCACTGCGAATAGAACAAATTAAGTGCGGGCACCTGTATACGGTCCTTTTGATGCAAGTAAATTAACCATTTCAAATCCCGTGATTAAAGAAGGCAGTTACGTACCCAATGTTGTTCACCCATTTATTACAGTCACGGCGGCCAAGAAAAGCGACTTCTAATTATGATGACAGATACGACTTGTTACGGTCTAAGTCCCGTCCATAAATATGGCACGCGAGATAAAACTGCCGATAATATTGTAGGTCGCCAAATGTGTTATCAACTGCAAAGGCGGATGATGCGTATACTCGACGATATAAATTTGGCGGCTTACAAGTTTAATGAAAAACAGGCCGAGAAGCAAGCTGGCGCCAAGTCTATCATGCCATCTTGCACAATAAATGCTTATAAAGCCAGTCGCGATATCGATGATTTAAATAGGATAGAATACGTGGTTAAACCGCTTTACACAGACAAAAATCGCATGTACGTTAAAATAGATTCTTACACCTCGTTATTTGACAATCGAAAGAGGCCCATTACGTCGTCAAATATCGACAAATTTATAAATAAAAGAGGCGATGCTTAAAAATTCATTTATCCAAAAGACGTGTATTATGGAACCCACGGTTCACTGTCTTGCGATGCCAGTTTTAGATATACGGTCTCGACGGCCATGTTGAAAGTTAGAAATGACGGAATAATTTCAAATAAATTGGCATTGCAAGCGTTTACATGATTTGACCGTAACAAATCTGAATAAGAATTGGAAACTGAATTGGAAACGCCTGTGAAATTAAAGGTGGATTCAATTTGAGAATAAACTAACTTGAACTATTTTTAAACCTCAGTTATTCCCAGGAATAACTGAGGTTAATTTTACGTCCCTTAAATAAATAACGTTTTAAAAACAATGAATAATTATTTACCAACGGACGAACGAGATTTATTAGTTTTATTTGGCCAAAAACCAACACACGCAAAAAATCAAAGAAGAAGACGTGTGCCCGCACACAAATAGAGTGGAAATAGAAGAATCTAAACTCGTCTGCCGCGAGTGTGAATTAATATTAACTCGCATTTATTCAGACGAAGCAGAAAATGTGGGCAGTAGATATAACCAGTTTTTCATTTACAAAAAACCCAAATCTAAAACGAGCAAAATATTTAAAGAATTAGACGTAAATTAACTGCGGAACAAGCCGGCAAGATCTCCAGAGGCAAGCCGCTCCGAGCTTTAATTGCCGTCTGTTATCAAGACGTCACGGTAGAAACTGCGGAAACCGTAAAAGACCTGTTTAAAATCTCCGATAAACATTTTACCGACGCCGTTAATAAATTGAAACTTTATGAAGAACAGTAAGATTTTTTAAAAACCCGTTTATAATAAAATGGAGACGCACACATTTTATTTGTCCAAAAATCCTCAGACGTTTAAATTGAAAAACGTCATTGACAACTCAAAAGGTGACAATGCCATTTTGGTCCAAAACATTTTGTTTGAAAAGGGCTATATGTTGGGATCACATAAACTTGCTTACGTATATTGCCCATAGTTCGATACCAATGTTAACTTTTATAATGGGCAGTCATTTGATTATTGCAAGTGATTTCTGCAAATAGATATTGATTTTGAAACTCCTTGAAAATTAAAAGGCAGAAATATCGATGAATTAACCTTTTATGTAAGGTCAGAGACTGGAGGGCTTTTGCAAAACGAAAATGACAGATTAATTATCGAACTAAACATTTTGATCGAGCAATTGTAAAATGTATATTTTGAAAAGATGACAACGAACGTTGAGTCAAACATGTATCCAGACTTGACTGGATATCAAGCCGAAACAAATGCGACTAAAATTTCCCGCCTTCAAAAAATCGAAGACACCGCGGCCAAATTTTAAGAGAACGCGACGCCAGAGAAACTTCTTACAAAAGATCGAACGGCTATAACCTCTTTCAATTACGTAGAATACGGCGTCAAAGCATTAGGCGCCACGTCGGCCGCCATTGGCATTCCTACTATAATGGGAGTTATTACCGGGCCCATAGGATTTGTGATGAAAGGCATTGCTATCGGCGCATTTGCCACTTACGCGATGCTAAAGTACGCCAGTCGCCGCCTGACAAAACTAAAAAGCACGATTAAATCTGCGTGTTGCAGACGCCTAATTAAACACCATAGACGAATACGTCTCACACACGACTGAAGATGGCGACGTGTCTCAAGAAGAAATTGTCTTAAGTTTGTCCGAGCTTAAAAAGTTTAATGAAATGAAGGAAAAAATTTGGACAAACACGACGACAAAATTGCATGAAAATAAAATGACGAGTAAAGAAGAATTTAAACGACAAGTGCAAGCAAAAGTGGAAACTTGAGCAAACGAAAGGGCGGCAGTTTTAAAAAAAGACCTTATGAAAAAACTTGGCGAATAACTTTAACATAGTTGTTCAAGTACGAGGATCGGCCAACCGCTTAGCAAGAAGTAAAACCCACTGCGCCTCCTTTTTAAAAAAGCTTTTTTTAAAAGATGGGACACAACTTTAGTTAATTAGCAATCGTGGTAAATAAAGATAATTGGTTCTCCGCCGAGTTTCCAAATTTAACCGCGGCTAACAAGTTACTGAGAGTTAAAGCAGACGAAGCCGTTAACTGTTGGACGACAGACCCAATTTCATTTAACTAAAACCAATTTAATTTTGCGGTCTATTGCGCAACGACGGCTTGCAGGGTAGGTTTCGATTTACTGTTCGATTCAAATCTATACGTGTCTGCCCTATTTAACTTCCATTATTACACGGTGAGAAAAATATTTTACGACTGCGTGATGTCCATACCTAACGACGACATCTTTGACATGTTGCACAACAATTACGATCACCGCAAATTTACCGACACTTGCCTACTATTTAACGTCGACCAAAATCAATCGTTTAATCCAGTCCGTTACGCCCCCTTTGGACGGAGGAGGTTTAGGTTCTGGGCTAGGTTCAGGTGTAGGAGGAGGCGCAGGCGAAGGAGTGCTTCAGCTCTGACAGCAGCTACGATAGAGCTGACAATGGTACTCACGGCCAAAATAAAAGCCGTCAAAATACTCACGATCGTGACCGCCTTGTTCTCTAAAATGTACTCGGATTTTCTTGGGTAAAGTCAAATCACTGCCCATTACCGCTTCAATCGTTTCCTTGATGCAATTGATTTGACTACGAATCCGACCGCTATTTCTATTGATGACTTCTAACCCGCCCTTTCTTTCTATTTGTAAATCATCCAACTGCTGTCGAAGTTTTTTTTTGGTTAAAAATCAATTCACTTTTGACCGTTTGTAGAGACCGATCTAAAGCAGCGAGTTCCCTATAACTTAACCCTTCAGTTTGGACATCTACACCTTGAGTGAGGTCTTCTACAATGTCACTGACTCTATCGGCTTCTTGAGGGAGTTGTTGCATCTCTATGTTTTCGGGGTGAAGCTCTGAAAGTACACGGGCTATTTCTTGCGCTTCTTGTTTTGTTTTACCTAAAACATAGTCACTAAAACCTAAAACGCGTCTTATAAAATCTGTGTTTGTTTTACTCTCAATCGTTCTTAGTTTAAGAAATTGATTTACTGTTATTTTCTGGAGTCAAAGGAACTTTTTACTTTCAAACTTGACATGTAGGCGGTCTTTAGTATCAAGATTAAACACGTTGGGATCCCTAATTAATGCTTCATAACCAGTTTCTTTTTCAATAGCGTTATAAAAGTCATTCATTTTACCTTTGACTAATGACATTCTAAGGTCTGACAAGTCTAGTCTTTGGCCTTCTACAGACGTCGTTTCTTCTTGTACTGGATTAAGATCATACTCCCACGTCAAGTCTTGTTCTCCTTGATCGTCTTGTGGGTCTTCATGTTCTTCCTTTTGATCTAACAGAGGAATTTCCTCTGGGTCAAATCCTCCGTCTGACAACTTATTTTATAATAAACTGATTTTTAAACCTACTTTTTACCCCGTGGGCAAGCTTGAGGGCAAAATGCCTTGCAACACTAACCATCCCTGTGTAGCCAATGCATCCGCCGGTGGTTTAATTTTAAGTAGTTTATTGCCAAGCATGGCGTATCCCATGGAAATTAGGCAAATGACAGCGCCGTGATATAAGATATTGGCGATACCGTTGACGTCGATTGATTTAGCGTTACTCATCTTATTATACATACTTTTAAAAATACACCCTGGGACGCGTTCCCAAGGTCACACCTACATGGTTACGGGGACGGACTCATCCGTTGAGTCCATTGCATTTTTCAGGTTTGCAGAGCCCTGAGGCCGTCCTGAAGGTATTTTAATGCTTCATAGGTTGTCCCATAGCCTCTACAGATCTTACAAACCACCAAATCCCACCAAAAGTACATCACAGCACCGCGGGGGGCTGTTTCCCCAGGCTATCCGGATTTGAAGGGGGGGGGCCCTCGCCACGCACCGGCCAAGCCACACCACCACCACACACCCCCCAACAAAAATAACACTTCAAAGACAGCCGACAGAGGCCTCTGACAAGTTCCAGACAGCTGTCAGTGATAAGGAACATTCCACTGCCTGCCCCATGCACCGTTTTGTAAACAGCCCATTAGGTTGTGCAGAAGGGACCACTTAGTGCACAGTCCTATGGGAATTGCCTGGAGGCCGTCCGGGTTTTGTGCATTTTTTCTGGCTAGGGGAGGCCCTGGCTGTAAAATGACTAAACCAGGCTTTTTAGCATGTTCAGGGGTAGGATATGATAAGTAGTCGTGGAATTTGGACTTAAGAAAAATTTGGACTCGCCAGGAGCGGCCACT